ATGGTTATTTCCATTTGTTAATTTTAAAAATAAAACTCAGTGTGCAAGGAATCCCAGGAGTGGGGTGTAAGTCTAAGTATGTAATGTCCTAAGTGCTGAACTAGGACTTTGGGAGACCAGGGTTCAAATCCCTGCTCAACCATGGAAACTCACTCAAGTGTCCTTGGGCAAGTCACATTCTCTCAGCTTCAGAGGAAGGAAATTACAAACTCTCTGAACAAATCTTGCCAAGAAGATCCTGAGGGTCACGGTAAGTTGGAAATCACTTGAAGGCACACAAAAACAGCAAGTGTTAAGTATGTGGTTTACCACTCTCTCTCTCTGCATAGTACTGACTTCTTTAGAGTGTGTTAGTGCTACTGCATTGCTTTGGAGATATCATTTGCCAGGACACACACACACGGAGAGAAACTGATTCACTCCAGTACCTGTTTGGTATATTTGACCTGGCTCCTCAGCAAAAGCCTGTCTGATGTGGGACACCATACCAGCAGCATTTGCATAGCCCCTTGCCTCACAAAAGCACACAATCCCACCACAACAAAAGAATAGTGCCATGGTAGGCATCACAGTGATAGACTATGTGTATCCAGTCTTTTGAAATCACCTTTGGCATGTTGTGTTGAAAGCCAGTTTTGTACTATCCCAAATTTTAGATGTGTAGCTTGCATGATGAGTTACTGGCATCCCAAATAGTGCACAGTATAAATTAGACCAGTGATACTCAAAGTAGTGGTCCCTGGACTAGGACCAGTCCCAGAGACATTAGCTGCCAGTCCCTGGTGAGTCTCCAAAAGAAAAAGAAAAAAAGTAGCCAATTGGCAGAAATATAGTGCCAGTCCCTAGCACATTGGAGGAAAAAACTGCCAGTTCTCCCCATCAGAGAGCCTGGGAATCACTGAATTAAAGTATATTTTGGTGAAATGAAGAGGAAACTGTCCAGGGCCCAGTTACTAATCTACTTTTGCATTGTAGCAGCCATCACAACAGCAGCAACTATAGGACCATAACACTGATCTTCCATGCAAGCAAAATTATGCTCAAAATTCTGCAATACAGACTCCAACCATACATGGAAAGAGAAAACCCAGAGGTTCAAGAGGGGTTCAGGAAAGGAAGAGGCACTAGCGACCACATTGCAAACATGCGAGGGCTAATGGAGAGCAACAAGGAATTCCAAAAGAATATCAGCACGTGTTGTATAGACTATGCCCTTAAAGACATAGGAGTACCAACACATCTGATAGTTCTAATGAAGAATCTGTACTCTGGACAAGAGGCTACTGTCAGAACAGAACACAGAGAAACAGAATGGTTCCTAATTGGCTAAGGAGTCAGACAAGTTTGCATACTTTCACCTTATCTGTTCAACTTGTATGCAGAACATATTATAAGAAAAGCAGGCTTGGACACAGAAGCAGGAGTGAAAATAGGAGGAAAGAATATCAACAATCCAAGATATGCTGATGACACCAATATACGCACAGAAAACCTCACAGACCTAGAACACCTACTAAGAAAGATCAGAGAAGAAAGTGCTTAAGGCAGGCTTAATGCTGAACATAAAGAAAACAAAAAGAATGACCACCGAGGACCTTCACAAGTTCAATCTAGACAATGAAGAAATAGAAGTAGTAAAAGAATTCCCATACCTGGGATCAAACATTGATAGAAATGAGGCCTGCAGTCAGGAAATAAGAAGAAGACTAAGAATGAGGAGGGCAGCCATGAAAGAACTAGAAAAGATTCTAAAATGCAAAGATATACAACGCAGCGCAAAAGTTAGAATCATACAAGCCACTGTATTCCTTGTTATCATGGATGGATGTGAAAGCTAGACAGGTAAAAAAGCAGACAGGAAGAAAGTCAATTCATTTGAGATAATGTGGTGCTGGCAAAGATTGCTGAGGATCCCATGGATGGCCAAAAAGACCAGATGGGTCCTAGAACAGGTCAAAGCAGAAATCTGTCTGGAAGCCAAGATAACTACATTAAGGCTGTTGTACTTCGGACACATCATGAGAAGACTCATTAGAAAAGACAATAATGCTGGTAAAGATGGGGGGAAGTAGGAGGAGAGGAAGGCCACATGCCAGATGGATGGACTCTGGCTTTAATAAAGAAGTCATGGGGATGGGTTTGCAGGATTTAAGCAGAGCAGTGGAGGACAAGAGAGTCTTGGAGATGTCTCATCCATAGGGTCGTCATGGGTCGAGATCGACTTGAGGGCAGTTAACAACAAGAAAAAGCCATCACAAAACTGAACTACATGGGTCTTCTTATTTGTAAGGAAAAAATTGTGTGGGGGAAAAAACATCCCTCACAGTTGCTGCAGTTTTGTTTATGCCTTATAAATACAAGCATGAGCCAATTTTATAGCAATTTTCATCTTATAGTACATTACAAAATTGTATGTTGACACAATAAAGGCAAAACTAATGAGGGAAATGTGATGCATGCAGTTACTGCAAATGCCTTTGCAGTGGAATATTAAATCCATGTTTCTTCTACATGAGCTGGGAGGATGTTGTGAGACAGCAACCAATTAAATAAACTACTCTCTTTCATCCTGTAGGGACGTGAAAATGGAACAATTCCTGAACCTGGAACATGTGGGGCATCAGGCAAAGACTACTCCTCCACCTCACATCCATAACTAATCTCTGGCCAAAGCTCTAGAAGGGAACTCCAAGGAAAAACCACAAAATCAGAAAGGTGTATGTTTTAACAGCCAGAGGTCACAGTGAAGCATATGCTACTCTTTTGTTACTATGTGCCTTCTAGTCATTTTTGACTTATGGAGACTCTATCACAGGATTTTCTTGGCAAGCTTCTTCAGAGGGGATTTGCCATTGCCATCCTCTGAAGCTGAGAGTATGTGACTTGCCCAAGGTCACCCAGCAGGTTTCATGGATCATCAGGGATTTGAACCCTGGAATCCAGAGTCATAGTCTAAAACGCAAACCACTATGCCATGCTGGCGCTCTTAAACTCCAATAAAAATCTTTAGATCAAGTTGGTCTGAGAAAAGAGACTAACTTTAGTGAGAGAAGTTCTTAAGTCATCACCCTAAACCTCTTTTGTCTAGCCATCATTTTCCTTCTCCTATTCTTTTTCTTCTTCTCTTGCACCCATCACCTTTGTGAGTTCCATCACATTGTTCTTCTCTCCTATCTGTTTCAAGAGCATCACTCCCAGCCACATTACACTATCCCAATAGGTCAATACTGGTTCATGCTCAACTACTTGTTTCTACTCAAATAATGCTTTATATGCAAGTGGGCTCCTCTTTTTCAAGGTGAGGTAAGGCATAGTTTAAAAATATGTGGGGAAGTCAATACCAACCAGTTTCTGATATGGAATCAGAGCTTTGGAAAATGGTATTTGGTATAAAACTCTTAGAAATCCTCCTCTGTGCATCCAGTATGACCAGTTGCAAGAGGGGATTTGTTTCTGAATGGCTTTTTGGCACTATAAAATAAAGTGTTAAAAAAAAGCAAATGACACTGAATACTGGTCAAACAATGAACAACTACCAATAAACAATTAACATTAAAATGTTTAAATTCAAACAGTCATTGTTGTTCCAGGAAGAATGTTGGAAAATATTTTTTATTACTTATATATTTATTTATTTTAAAATATTACTCATTTCTTTAAAAAAAATAAGTAATCAATTACTTGTTTGGTTTATGTCATTTGGTTTAAACCAGCCAACCCTGGTGACATGCACCCAAGATAGTTCCATTTTTCTATAGCTCCCATACAAGAAATCAGTCCTTCAAACAGGAAAGTCAGGAATTTAAGTATTAAGCCTACAACAGAAATGATGTAAAACCTTAGTGTAAGAAAATAGGTTCATGCACAATGTTACAGGGTCAGCTGTCTTGTCAGTTTATAGAAAATCAGAAAGTCTCTGTGTGTTTATGCATACATGCATGCAGACATTTACATTTCTATCCTAAATTGGAAATAATCTGAAAATGTTCAGTCAGCAGAAGGGTTAAAAGTTCCCATGAGCTTATTTATCACTATAAATAAGAATCTGAGAGGAGTCACTACACAAACTATCCCATTTCAAATTTGGTGGAGTAAACCTAACTTCAGAAAGGGACAGTGTCTTCATTTTGTTCTGGAAATTTAATTTGAAGTTCTGCTGCATCATATTCTCAAAAATATGTACTTTATTATATTATGTGAAGCTGGGGTGGCTGGAAAAACATTAACCCAAGTGTAACTATCAGTCACAAAGATAAGGCCCCATTTCGAAGGAGAGGGGTCTGCAACATTAATAGGTTTATTGCTATGAGAACTTCCCACATCCCAATGAACATGCCACACTTTCTTCTGATTTATCTATTTGATTTACACCCTGCCTTTCTCCCATGGTTAGATTGCAAAGAAGCTGGCAACATAACTTTAGTTTTCTCCCTAACCCCAACAACAAATTAAAATATAAATTAAACCAATTATACTATTAACATACCAATTAAATCAAGTTTTAAAATGCCAGACTAATTATAAATAAGCACTAACATATTTAAAAGTTCAGCATTGTTGCTGTATGCCTTCAAGTCGTTTCCAGCTTATGGTGGCCCTACCATGGGTTGTCTTGGCAAGTTTCTTCAAAGGGGGGTTTGTCATTGCCATTGTCTGAGGCTGTGAGAGTATGACTTGCTCAAGGTCACCCAGTGGATTTCCATGGCCGAGCGGAGATTTGAACTCTAGAATCCTAGTCCAATGTTTAAACCACTACACCACACTCAGCAGGCATAACCCTTTGAAAACATCAGACTACATCAGGCCAACAGAAGAGAAAAAAACTGCCTGATGGTAGAAGGATAGGAGGGAGAGAGCTAGCCCAAAATAATTCATAAGGGAGATTTATAATCTAGGAGTGACCACTGAGGCCTTCCCTTGGGCCTGCATCAAACATATATCTGAAGGGACACGTCTGCAGATTGCAACGCCATGTTCTTATACATGAGAACATAGCCTTTCAAATAGCCTAGACCCAAGGTTATAGGGCTTTATAGGTCATAACCAGCATTTTGAACTGTCTGGAAAGTGGAGCAAGAGGGGACTTACATGTTCCCTGTTGCCATGCCTAGCCAATAGTCTGGCTGTTGCATTTTGGACCAGATGCGCTTTGCAAACATGTGAGCTCAATGCCAGCCAGGGGCTCCGGGTCGACTCAGCCTGGCATCTTTCCGAGGTCGCTAAAATGAGTACCCAGTTTGTTGGGGGCAATTAGCTTACACTTTGTAAACCACTTATTACATCAGTAAGTGATATAGAAATGTACTTGCTATTGCATATAGACCACGCTACTGAACTCAAACAGTTTAACTAAGGCAAGTGTCACAGTAGCCAGATCAAACAGGAACAAGCACAAACAGTGCATTACATTTCATTGTGTTAAAGCTGCCACTGAGGGCTAGTCTACAAGTAAGTGTATTCTGTGAACTGGTTTGCACTTTCACATCAATAGCTAATTGCCTGCACTTTTTAAAAGAAAATTCTCATCTATTCACATCTATTCACCATTCCTCTGCCAAAAGTGCACAGCCACTTGAATCCAAGTGAATCCAGGTAGATGGCCACACGTGCAATAACGTCCATTTCTGCAAAATTCAGTGGATACTCCAGAAAAACCATGAAGCCTTTTTCCACAGAGTTTGTTTATTGGGGGGGGGGGTACAAAACATCCAATTCCTGCAAACCATGTATAGTTGGATCACACCCTACTCAACTGGAATGAGGATTATTTTAATTGTGTAGACTAGCCCTGTGATCTAGGAATCCAGGTTCAGGGTTGAATCTAGAAGTAGAGCCAAACTGAAACCTCTCATTTCAAGAGGAATGTAAACTCTTCAAGAACAGATTGAATCTTCATTCCTTGACCTGTCTTTCAACTGAGCAACAGCATTTCTATCTTTTCTAGATTAAGTTTTAAGTTGTTCCCTCTCAACCAGTCCTTTCCTCCGTATAAGGAATGAGCTTATGCACATCCCATGTAAGCCACACTCACCCCATCCTAATCCATACCAGTACTAAATAAAAATCTTTCCCATGATTTTTGGGGAAATGTTCTACTTTCAGGATGTGAACACATTCTAAGGACTGTGTCCAAGTCCACAACTCAAGCAGAAGCAAGTAAAAAAAATCCCAAACAGTCTGCAGTCTCTCTGAAAAGGTACTTTTGCTTCACTTCACCACTAGAACATTCACTGGCTAATATCTAGAGATGCTAAAGAAAATTAAAACCTTTAATCAAAGCACACACTTATTTCACAAACCCTATAGCAATTTCACTCAGCCATCTAATCTGCATGTAATCGAAACACTCTTTATTAATACAATCTTCTCAGTCTTCAGCTAATGCTCACCTGCACAATATTTAAATATCCAACGGAAGACAGCTTTATTTATACCTTTTTCTTCCTCGGTGTCCTGCATCTATGATGCCAATATTACAAATTCCATTCTTACTAAGTTCCTAATAATTATGATTCTTAAGTACTGGAGGGTTCTCTGTCACAACATATTGCTTTAAGAAAGCTCTGGATGCTTAATTGGCAAGTGAGAACTTTGTGTTATTCCCCCTCCAATAACATCAGCGAACTTTGCATTGTTCCCCCTCCAATAACACCAATAAACTGCGTTGTTCCTTCTCCAATAACACCAGCGCACCAGACTGTGAGCACACATTAGTAACAATGGCACATCCATAACAAGGCCAGGAATTTGCTTAATTCTCTCCTACAGGACACCGGCTGATTTTTAATGATGATAGGAAGTCACCTTTGGGGTGAACATTACTCCACATAGAATTAGCCTCCAATATAGCTCAAATTTGCTTCATTCACTGGTCTCTCTCACATCACCAGGGGTCCTACTATTCATGCTGCCACCCACGTAGCATAGCAGGGCAGCCAAGGCATAGAGTTCTAATATAAGAACACCCTATCCTGGCAACTTAATTCAGAAACCTTGGCCAGGCATAGTTTGGAAGCATGTATGGTGTTCGCTGTTTTAGTCAGGTGCAGGATTCAAGGTAAACTAAAATGTGGAAGAGAGTGGCACAGTACACCAGTTCGTCTCTGGAAGTAACAAGGAGTGGCAATTAATCTTTTAAATAATTTTCACCCACCCACATTGTTTAACATTACAAATATCTATTCCCCCCCCCCAAAAAAGTAGATTTCTAGCCAGTTTCAGATAATTATTTTTGTCTTTCAATATTTTTGGCAGTCAAAAAATCAGCCCTTGGAGCTGGTGCACTTGCACACCCTTCACAAGGACTGTCTAGACCATTCTGATTCTGTCCACTGTACACCTATACTTATGAATGGATAGAATCAAAGGTCTGCAATCTATCTCATGCTTGTTTGTGCTTAGTGAAGAGGAAAAGAGATAGCAAGGAAATAGAGTATGGGGCAACAGCTTCAAGAAGGTATTAAAACTTGTGACTCTAGTCTCTGCAACCAAAGCTCCTGAACTTCTGTGACCCACTCTGTGATGAGCAGCTGTGCACTGCTTCAAGGTCAGTCTTCTCAAAACCTGTGCAAATATTTCATATCTCTTTTTGTCCACTCTGTCTGACATCCATCTCTAAGAACCCATGCCAGATCTACATGGCTTAAATTCACATCTAACTCCCTCTCCTACCTTTCTGGCTCAAGAATCCCTGCTCTCTATTTCAGAGCTCTCATGTTCTCTTTCTTCACTACTCAACCATCACCTATATCTAGGCTTCTTTCATTCTTTGTCTTCATTTCTCTGATTTCTTTCTAAATAAAAGAAAACCCCTTAATCTTTATGGCAGCTTCCTATTCAGTATTCAGTATGATTTCTTCACTCAGCTACTCAATTATCTCCCCCTCCCTGCTCAAGCTTTCCTTCAGCTTCCATTGTCACTTTATCCACCCAATAATTTCCACGCTTACCTGTTTACTGTAATTCATCCAAAATCCTCTCTG